ACATAAAGACATATCAATTAGGAATACAAATTAGGAAAAAAGGGTTTAATAAAGTCATGGTCCAGGGAAATACTGGGGAAGTGGGAACAGTGGTGTTACATTGTGGGGATTGCAATCAATAACAAAAAACAAAATGTGTATGAATTGCTGAATGGAAAACCAATTTGCTCTGTACAATATCACTCAAATCATAATAAAAATTTTTTTTAAAAAATGAAAGTAAGTTATGGTCCAAATAAAAAGAAATTAGAAGGTGATATGAATTTAATTTAAACAACTGATGAAGAGTCAGTAAAAGAGACTCCATTTGACTTTGGCACTGACTAGATCTCCCTTCGACTGGCTCAGGAGTCCTCGCACTGGACCCAATATGCAAGTGTAAAATCCAATTCTAGCACAGAGTATCCTATTTACAGCTATAATAATATAAATGCTGCCTTCAGATTTTCAACTTTAAGAATCATTTTTGAATAAAAAGGTCTGTAGTAGTTAAGTTTGTGTGTCAACTTGGCTGGGCCTGGTTTTGAGTGGCTGGGCAGCTGGAGGTAATATTCCCCGTGATGAGACTGGTAATCGACTCTATGGTGGAATCTATTGGAGTAGCTGAGTAGCTGCCTTAAGCTTTTTTTTTAGAAAAAGCTTTGAGGAAGTTCTCTAGCTTTTGGCCCACTGAATCCTGCATTTGGCCAAGTTTTCATCAAAATGAACTGCCATGTTGTCTGCCGATCTTGGGACTGTTAACAGACTTGAATTAGTGCCCTGACATGTGGTTTGATAAGTATGGAACTGTGCCATCTTACTCGTCACCCTTGGGCTGGTTAGCCTCAGCAGCCAGTAGCTGCCTGAGTAAAGAGATGTCTCCAGCTCCAGTGGGTCAGGAGCAAGAGGCAGAGCTCAAGCCTGAGGTGAAGGGGCTTTCACTCAGCCCCCAGAGCTGGCACTCTGAACTCAGACTTCTAGCCTCCTAAACTGTAAGAGAATGAACCTGTTTGTTAAGCCATCCAATTTGTGGTATTTCTGTTAGAACAGCACTGTTGTTGTTGTTATGTGCCGTCGAGTCAGCCCCGACTCATAGCGACCCCTCCTTGGGTTTCCAAGGCAGTATCTAGAGGTTACCAATACAAGGCCTTTTAGGCCACACACAGATATAAGTTATGAATACAAGGCTTCAGTAATGTTAAGGTATCACTGATGAAAAGTAAGCTGCAGAAATGGTAGCAACCTTGACTTAGAAAATGGGGAGTCAAAAGTTGCAAAAGTTTACAAAAAAAGAATCAAAGTGATCCAATAAATAAAAATAATAAAAATATCAAACTTGGAAAAGAAAGAAGAAAAGTCATTTAAGGAGCTAGATTCTGACTTTCCTATCTGGAATTAAAAGTTTATAAATCAAAAAAAAAAAAAAAAAAAAATTATATGAGACCAAAAGGTCAACAATTACTCTAAGGCAAAGATGAGAAGATAAGAAGGCAGAGAAACTAGAGCACTGGAAAGAAACAACCAGAACATAATTAAGGAGAATGTTGACACACTGTGAAAAATGTAACAAATGTCACTGAACAATTTGTATAGATATTGTCACATGGGAACCTAATTTGCTGTGTAAAGTTTCACCAAAAACACAATAAAGTAGTACTTTAAAAAAGAGTAGCAAAAACATATTACTTAGGGTTAAGGAAGTAACAAGCTGAAAATTAAATATAAAAACAGATAAAAAATAAAAGTTCCCTCTGAGCAGAGGTGGTGAAGGAAACCATTGTTTTTCAACAAAAGTCCTTCTGTATTATTTAATTTGTTACCAAGTACATAGATCACTTTCACAAAACTAATTCTGTACCACATATTTCAGGAAAGGCAATACACTAAAATTAATACTAAAAATGGGGAGTGATTGGCAAATGTTATAGTTGGAATTGTAGTTAAGAATGGAATTTTTTTTTTCTTTATAGAATTGTTATTCAAAAGAACGTTTTCTACCAAAATGTTTGTAGGAAAAAGTAAAAAGGGAAAAGAGCATCTTCACAACTCTGGTGAAGCCAGCTCATTTTCTGTGTAATTCTCTATTTTCCAGTTTATATTATATTATATCAAAGTATATTCCACTTATAATCAGAAATTTAAAACAAAAATTTAATGTGATCACCATTCTAAAACAGTGTGTTGTCCAGAGTCCAACACTTACACATCCCCAGCCTGATTCATGAGCTTTAGGGGACAGCAAGAATAAAGCAGCAGTTTTTAGAGGTCACATGTTAACAATGGAACCAGTGGAAGCATTTTGTTGTTACCTGTTACCATAAAGGAACGCCTGAACATTATAAAAGTTGTGAGTACTCAGGAAAGGTGCCCTTTATATAGTACCAGAAAGTGATTACATCATATACCTAGGAACAATTTTACCTGGGAAAATAGCAAAAAGCTTTTTAAAACTTCTTAAATGTTCAGGCTTTGTTTCCCACAAAGCTCACTGTAAACTAGAGAGGTAACATGGAGAGGAATATGTAAGTAGGGAGCAAAAGATCAGAGATCCAGTCAAGGGTTCACCATTATATTAACCACCATGACTTTCTCAAAGTAACACTATCACCCTTCCCTGGCCTCAGTTTTCTAGGGTGGGGGAAAAAAAAATGACCCTTGTCGAGTCTAAAATCTTTTATTTCTGACTTTAAAAGCCCTCAACTCCTGGGACAGTCAAGAATAGGATTCACTGTCATTTCACAGATGACACAGCAAAAGCAAAGGGTAGATTTCATGAAAATTAACTCAGGGTCAGTTGCTACCACTTTCCAAGCTTCTACTTATCCATCAAACTACATTGCCTTTTAAGGTTGTGTAACAAAGTGCGACACAAAATGTTTACCTTATTCCAACTTTAAACAAAAGTAAAAGAAATCAGAGAACTTTTGGCAGATTGTTTATCCTGAAAGACAATAGTCATGATGACTTACTTTCTTAATTCTCTTAGCCACTTGGCCAAAAATTTCCAGGGACAGTATCAGATGAGACTAGCCTACTACTCACATGTTTTTCATATCATATTCATTCACTATCCAAACTCAAATGAAGATGCACTCTGGGGTTGGGGAAATGGTTGTGGCTAGCTAAATGGATCACAGCAACTAGCTTTAAACCCAAGACTAACTTCCATTTTTGTCCTAATTTCACTTAGTTCTGAGCTACTCCAATCGTTCAAAACCCATGAATAAATGGAATTTTTTGTTTGCTGTTTATGTTTTATTTTTTCCTAGCTTCACTCTGATACTTAGCAAGCTCAGCTCTTATTTCGTATTTTTAAAGATCATAGTAACTATGCTGATCATATACCTTATAATACACCATGTGTTTGTGTCTATGAGTGTGTTGTGTTTGTATGTATTCATAAACACAGTTAAAAAGCACTTGGGACCAAAAACAGCCCTCCCAAATTACTGAATATTATTGGTTTATTTCCTTCAATTCCATTATTGATTACCAAGCTCATTTTTTGTAGAAGTCACAATGAACTATTCAAAACTTCATGTATCTAAGTAAACTTAAAACATAACAACACTGTCATCACATTTATGAAATATCACGTTATCAAAGTCACATACTTGACCTCCACCAACCATTTAGAAGTTAAAGCACAAGAGTACACGTCCAAACTACTGCTCAATAACCCACAGAACACCAGTTGGGGAATAAAATGACTGCTGTGTCTGTTTCAGGACAAGTGCTTCTCAGCAACGCACCAACCCCAGAAATAAAATAAAGAACTCCTCTTTGCACAAGATGTCAACAGCTTTGGGACAGCAAAGGAATAAGAACTGGTCACCAGTATGAGTCAAAGACTTGGCTGTAATCTCATCCATCACTGTTTTCGTTATTAGGGCCATCTCATAGCAATCAAATTATAAATTACTAGTGTCAAAGAAAGGTTCAATTATATTTCTTAATAGTACACAACTTATCACAACTTTTGAATTAAGCTACCTCGCGGAAAAAAACAATAGGCTTTATGAGGAACTCTAAGTTCTTAGACAAGGAGTGTCCCATCTTGGCAGGGAATGCCAGTGTAGGTAATCCTGAACTAAGCAGTACAGCTGGCACAACTTCCATTCTAAGCCTTTGAGTGTCTGACCCTCTACGACCTCACTGGTTACATTTCAAGTTCCAACTTCAAGTTTTTCCTTAGGAATGTTATTATCTTAAAGTACCACAACTGAAACAATCTCCTCTAGTGTTTATGAATCTATTTTCTTACACTGTACAGTTTAATTCTAATCTAATATAAAATTCACTACACCGAAAAACAATGTTAACTTTAGAATGTGACAAAGCAGGCACCCTGATTGATAATATTTTAGGCTACCAAGTGCACAATATTAAAACTCCTGACCTGATTTCCACACAACTGATTCGTCCAGCCCACAACTACTTAATATGGCAGTCGTTAATTACTTCAGTGTGCTGTGTGGTCATTACATCACCCAGCTGGGAGCGGTAAGGCCTACTAGGTACAGTTCAGTTTTCCAGCTTTCTCTTCCAAGTGTCGACCACGACCACCTACACTGAAAAGAATCTCTCTCCTCCCCAAGTCTGGGGCCTGTTCTCTTATTTATATTGGTGTCACATGCTAATGGACCTGGCTCTGGGGTATCTGACTTCAGGTAAGACAGTAGGCCTCAGCCCAGGAGTTTGTTTTATTCTCCAAATTGAGGAACCAAGTCACCTATGAGTATCATATGAATCCCCCAAAACAATTTTTTTCCTACCTCTGGCAGTTTCCAAGTCCCGAATCTTTTGAATCTTTCGGGACGCGGGACGAAGCTCACTAGAGGAGACTGCCCTGCTTCTGATCCCTTACAATCCCAGCACCCAGTGATTCAATCTCTATTTCCAGTTTTCCAGATCTTTGGGAAGGAATCCTGGAAGGACATGCACTTTCACGCACTCACACACACAAGCGTGCACCCTGGGCTATCTTGACTCTGTGCCCCCAAGCTAGGCAGCAGACTTACTTGAGGAAGTACCTCTGGCCAGTGGCCGTGAAGGTCATCTCCCAGCCAGGGGGCAGCGGCAGCTCGTCGGTCACGTCGTAGGACTGCTGACGGAGGTGCGCGTGCTGCTGCGCTGGGCTGCGTGTGGCGCCCGCACCCGTGCCCAGCTGCAGGGACGCGGGCGATGAGTGAGAACGGACATGCTGGGCACCACCAGCCAGTCGGGGTCCTGAGTGGCCGCCCGACGAGTCGGTGCTGGACTGGCGCGAGTGCGAGCCCGAGTCAGGCTCCTTGAAGAACGACTCGGGCAGGATCTTCTCCCGCCACGAGCTGGGCTTGGGGTTCCTAACAGAGTTGAAGAGGGCTTCGAGGTCCGTGTCGAGGTCCTGCGTGACGTGGATCACTTGTTGCCCAGGCGGCGGGAGCGGAGGGGGCCCGGAGACCGGATTCATCTTCTGCAAGCAAGAAGGAATGTCAGATCAGTCTCTCATTTAAAGTCGGGGAAGGGGAGAAGAATAGAAAAGAAAAAGAGGAGACAGATAGGTGTCCGCCTCGGGATCCCAGACACTCAGCAATAATACCAGTCGGAGGGGGGGAGGGGTCCCTCCTTGCCTGGAGAATTATGCAACTTTCTAGAAGCAAAAAAGTTCTCGGAGGAGAAGAGGAGGAAGAGGGTGGGGGAGGGGAGTGGTAACTGCATGCAGGACGTTGCGGGAACTGCTAGTGGCAAAGGAAAAGTCGCAGCTTTCTAGGACCCGCAGACTCCCACAGAACTCTCAACCTAACCCAATTCCACGACGTCTCGACTCCGACAGCCGGAGGAGCCGGGCGCCTTGGAGTAGGGCTTTGCGAGTAGGCGCGCTCCAGCGGGCACTACCTGGACGCGCAGCGAAGCCGAGCCTGGGCGCGCGGCGGCCGCCGTCCAGCCCGAACTCGCCTTCAGGCCTGGGTCACTTGAGTATGAGCTTGCGAAGCTGGAGCCGGAGCCCGGCTGGCAAATCCCAACCAAACGCGGTGCCTGGCAGCCGACGTGCTTCGGCTCTTACATCCCCCGAACTGGCCTCAGGAACTCGCACTGGGCGAGATGGAGGCAGACGAGAAGCAGACAGCGCTGCCGCCGCGGCTCCGGGACCATCCCACAAACAAAGTTTGGAGCAAATTCCCACCCCCAGGAAAGAGGCGGGCCCGAAAGTTGAGCTGTTGAATTATGCATGACTTCTAAGTCCAGAGCCGGCCTGCCCCCGCTCGCCCCTCCTCTTCCTCCTACCCCGACTCCAGAAATCCTAGGCGTGATGGGTACTTTGCAGGGTAAAAGGAGATGGGGGCCCCTCACCAACTCCTCCCGACCCGGCGGACCGTTCCCGCGGAGCCCTGGATCTGCATTCCTTTGAGTTTAGCACGGACTTGGGGCGGGATCAAAGGGAAAGTGGCTCGAGTCTGTTTAATCAAGGGGTTGTGGACCGAAACCAAGGCTGGGGGCGGCGGCGGACACTCGATTGAGGGGCCCAGACCTGGGAAGGGACGGTCCTCGGAGCCGCACCCTCCAGGCGAGAAGGGTGCCGAAGCCGGGACACCCGGAGCGCTGCACTGATCCACAGTTCTGCCGGAGGGCGTGCTCGGGTGCGCCCCTATTCGGGGAGTCACCAAGGCCGGCCTTTCCACGGGAGGCTGCTTAGCACTTGTGACCATATTTGGTGTGACGAGGAGGCATCTCAGCTGCTTGGCTTTCCATTGTTTCAAGCGCAGACAGTGCCCAGAAAGCGCCTCTGTCACTGGCAATGCGGCTTCGCCAACGGGTGGGTTATAAACAGTCCTTAGTTTACTCTCCGGGGTGTCTCAGGCCATTAGGGATTGAGTAGAAACTGAGTCTAAACTGGGTGCTGGTAGAGGAGACACATCACGCCCCCTTCACCCGCGCCCTCCGCGCTGGTGGTGGGAGGATTGGAATGTCCCGGGCGTCCTCCGGAGAGCCTGGTATCGGGATGGAACCGAAGCAGGTGGCTGGAAGTGAGAGGGTGCGCCAGTGACCCGGAAAAAGCCACCCACCTCCCACCGACTGGATCTGGGCAAAGGGTGGAGACCCTAAGCTAGGGGGAGGAAAGCCTGGCGAGCCAGCTGCGGATAGTGGGAGGTGGCCTTGTCCTCCGGAGTAGCTCAGTTCTTTCTCTTGTCCCTTTCCACTGGGGGGGAATGGGAAAAGGGCTTCGAAGATAAATTGTGCTCCAGAATCTCTGCAGCCCGCTCTATTTGATTCAGATAGAACTTTTTAAAATAAATCAAATAAGGCAATATATGTAAAGCACTAAGAACAAACAACACTCGGCAAGGCTACAAAAAAAAAAAAAAACCTGCCATCCAGTCGGATCTAAGTCATAGTGACCCCTCCTTGAATTTCCCAGGCAGTATCTCTATGGAAGGAGATTGCCCATCTAGCTTCCGAGGAGTGGCAGGTGAATTTGAACCGCCAGCCTTCTGGTTAGCAGTCAAATGCCTTAGGCACTACACTACCAGAGCTCCCAGGCTACATAAGTGGTAGTTAAATAAAATAGAACTGGGCAAGTATTGCTCAGAAGGAAGGTTGAACAATACTTTTGTAGTGATACGGTGTGGGAAACCCAAGGAGGGGTTGCTATGAGTCGGATCCAACTGGATGGCAGTGGGTTTGGGGCAAGTACTGTACTTCAACTTTATTATAAAAGTAAAAGGAAGCCAAAATCTGGGATTACCTTGAAAAAGTTTAAGGGAAAGAGGAAGTCTCCCCATTGTTTTCCTTGGAAAAGGGAGAGGATTTAAGAGCCACTTGTTGAATAGCCGCATCCCTATCACTGCCCAAAATAAGCAAAGCCCACCAAAAGGAGCCCCCCTCTCCCATTATCTGTACTTAGGAGTGAACTCTGCTTGCAGACTCCTCACAGACTGGAACAAAAAGAAAGCCAGATGGATCACTTTGAAAGGTAAGCAGGCCATGGCTTTCAGGAGACTCTAGAACTCCACGTTTTCCACACAGCAAGTCCTCTGCCCATGATCTGCATGGGAAAGTGGCAAGCTACCACAGGTCACTCCATGGGAAATAGCATCTTTGGAAACTAGGTCAGAATCCACCACAGCAGCAGCAATGGGAAATAGCGGAAGTGCTGGGATCAAATGGCTAGTAATTCAGAAGCCGCATTGCTGACTTGATGGTTAAAGGATGGAAACTGAGTCAAACCTCACTACAGAAGAGTCCTCACTCCTGGAGGAAGCCCCTGCTTTGTGAAGAAGACTGGCTGCCACAAAGAAGAAACGTGAAGAAATGTGGTGAAGGAGCCATGAAGGTAATCAGTGGGTGAGAATTAGAATTGGGACTGGATGGACAAGGCTGCAATCTTTATGCCTTGCCAAGCTTCGAGAAATAGGTACCAGAAATTAAAATCATCTTGATTATAGGATAACTCAAAGGGAAAACTCCTAGTTCCCAAATAGGCCTAGATGTGATAGTGGATCGTGCAGATGGCCTGTTGTCATGCCAGCCCTTCTAACAGTAGCTTCAGATTAACATTTATAGTGCCTTGTATTTATCAGGTACTGCCAATTGCAGGCAGCCAGGTATAGTGGGTAAGTGTATACACCCTTTGGTGCAAAATACCAGTGGCACCTCAGACAAGGAATTCAAACACTATTTTGGGGTTCTTTGTAGAGACTGTGGTGCGATGGCTCTCTTTTATCTGGCCTTGTAGGCCACCAGATGATTGAGTGGTACTATGAAATAAGGTAGGAGCTCTGGTGGTGTAGTGTCTAAGGCACTTGACTGCTAACCAGAAGGCTGGTGGTTCAAACCCACCAGCCACTCCTTGGAAGGAAGGTTGAGCAATCTACTTCCATAGTGATACCACCTCAGAAACCCAAGGAGGAGTCGCTATGATCAGATCTGACTCTGACTCCACGGCACATAACAACAACAACTACATGAAATAAGGTGCTTGTGGTCCAGTAAGGGGATTGGATAGCTTGCTAATTAATAATGCAAATAAGGTGCATGGCATCCTTGTGAAGGGGAGACCATGCAAATGAGGTGTATAGAACCCTAATGAGGGGATTGGCCAGTTTTGCCACCCCACTTGGCTTAAAATGAGCCATTCCAGAGGCAGAAAGGAACTTTGCCACCACCAAGAAGACAGGGATAGAACATGTCCTTTGGACCTATGATGAGAACCTCCTAGACCTAAGAGACAGAGAGAGAGAGAGCTGTAGTACTGGAGATGGTGCAAGATGATGAAAAGTGGCAGTAGAGAAACAGGAGCAGAAGAACCACAACCCTGATACAAGACAGTGTGGTGGGCTTCCTGGCCCATGGAACAAGGCAGTTACATTGATGTGATGACCCACAGAGCAAGAGAGCTGAAATTGTTAGATAGGAGGCCTCCTGGTGGAATTAGGTGGTTCTGGGCACTTGTTGACAGCTAGGCTTGCCAACCCACTGGGCAAGATTGCTGAACACCTTCAGGCCAAGGCTTACTAGAGTAGTGAGGTGCACTTGGATACTTATTGTCAGAGATAACAAGTTTCGTGACACTTGCCCAAGCAGGACAGAGGCTAAAGCAAGAGGCCAAAGGAAAGAGAGGCCTGCCTGCAGGCATGACTGATAAGAGGCTGTCCTGATTGAAGAACTCTATTCTGAGTGATTCCTGATCCTGAATTGTAATCTGTTGTTGTTGTTATGTGCTGTCGAGTCAACCTGACTCATAGCAACCCCTCCTTGGGCTCCAAGGCAGTATCACTACGGAAGTAGATTGCCCAACCTTCCTTCCGAGGAGTGGCTGGTGGACTTGAACCGCCAGCCTTCTGGTTAGCAGTCAAATGCCTTAGGCACTATGCTACCAGAGCTATTCCCTAATAAACCCCATATTTGTGAATATTGGCTATGAGTTCTGGACAGCCATTGCAACAAATTATTGAACCCAGCAGAGAAGTACAGTGTGCCATGGGAGGGATGGCTGGAGTCAGAATTGGTAAAAAGATTGGAGAGAGGAGTTGTGTCTGACCTCTGCTTCATAGGAATCAGCCTTGGGCTGGTGATGCCCATAATGATTCTTCCTCCCCCTTGTGAAATTAGAGGAGGTCAGATCCCTCCACCACACCACTTTTTACAGAGACAATAACAATGTCCACTTCACGGGATTCTAGGTTAAGATACAGTTGGCCCATGATTTAGAAAAAAATCTTCAAAATACTTAGCTCTACCCTCTATCTTGGGCAAGTAACTTAGCCTCCTTCAATCGTAGTTTATTTATTTACATATTGGAAATAATAATACCGTGGTAGTCCATTACGTTTCGGGCCTTCAGTGAACTACCCTCCTGTTATCCACACCCTTATATAATCCCATCTATTAAATCTGGACTGGGCCTGTGACTTGGCTTGCTTTAACCAAAAATTTGTGCAGGTGAAACTGTACTAGTTCCCCCTTGTAAGGTCTTAAAAAAACAAAACAAAACAAAAAACAACTCACTGTCGTCAAGTCAGATCCAACTCATAGAGACCCCTCCTTGGGTTTCTGAGGCAGTATATCTATGGAATTACATTGCCCAATCTTCCTTCCAAGGAGAGGCTGGTGGGTTTGAACCACCAGCCTTCTGGTTAGTAGTTAAATGCCTTAGGTACTACGCTACTAGCGCTCCCCTAAGAAAGTATGGAACCTCTTTTTTTGCACTTTTGGGAGATCTGACCCACCAGGTAAGAAATCCACCTATCCAGCTGGAAAGACATACGGAGAGGGTAAAGCCCAGCTACTGCAACGTCTGAGCTGAGCTGAGTCTTAGCCAGCCCCAGTAGCTGATGGCAAGCACATCAGTAACCACCAGCAAGATCAACCGAAGAACCACAGACCTGAGCCCAGCCCAGATTGCAGAATCATCAGCAATTAAAATGGATATTGTTTTACACTACTATATTTTGGAATAGTTTCTTATGCAAATGTTCTTCCTAAAGATAAAATAAGAAAATGGAAATAAAATTCTTAGCACAAAGCCTATTATATACTAAAGCACTGAACAAATAATGGCTGTTACATAAGTCTCAAGACAAGAAGAACAGGTAATATACTATGTATCCCCCATTTTACAGA